CCAATTTTTACTGAAAATTGTAGAGTCCATTTTGTTGGGTTTTTTTAGTTTAAAAAGTACGTACCTCTTCCCCATCCTCATCAAAATTTCACACTGCATTCTTTTAGCCTTGTATAGAATAAGACTCTGTTCTTTGGTAGAATTAAATAAGGTTGGTCATTAGATCTCATGTGGGCAATTCACTAACATTACTCCACATGTGTGACAATATTGTCTTACGCAGAATGTGCAAAAAAATTTGAGCATGAAGACTTGGCGGGGATTTGTGAGACTGTTTTATTTTATCATATTTTCATCCCCTTGAGAGTCCACCAGTGCTCCAGTCTAGTGAACTTCAGGACACAACGTAATATGTATTTTTTTGCTTAGATTTTGTTTGACTTTTTGTTTCATATGTAACAACACAGTGGTTGCTCAAATTTCAGCAGGTAGCAACAGCAACATTTTACATATCGGGAGTAGTTTCATGTACAGAGTATTTTTAAATTTGTAACTAAGCACATAGAACAAACTCACTCTCTAAATAAAAATATTAATGTTAATATTAGTGCATGGGATGGATATGATAATCTAATGTGTGTGTTCAATCTCCAGCTACTATGATTTCAAAAATTCTGTGCATGTCAGCAAGCTCAGTGGCCGATTTTTAATGTTTTACTATGAAAGAAGTTAGGTTGATTGTCTGCTCTTTCAGCTCTTTCCGGTGGAGGCTAAGATGTGTTTCCTCCTGGCCTATCTCTTGCATGCTTGTTGATTTCAGCAGGTATTTTCAGAAGTGAAATGAAGGTGTTAATTTGATGCACTTAGCTGACTTTGGTGCAATTATGTATGTGCAGTTTAACAGAATAGAATTTCATGTCTTAAATTCAATTCATTCTCCATGCATATGTATCACTTTGGCTTGTTTGGTGTCCCAGGGAAGAAAAAATGACAGCTTTAATCAAGTTGGCTAGTTGGCAATTCATTAAACTATTTTATATCATACTTTGTAATGAGGCCTTAGCTCATAGTAAGTTTTATGTGGGAATCTGTATTGAATCCCATAGCAGAATTTGAATATTCTTAATAAACCTCGTCTCAAAAAAGTGATCTCTGACTTGCCTAAAATAATAATTTCCAAATGTCCCTTCCTGTTTGGCCCCATTGCAAACTGGACAACTCAGCATCTTTCTTCCCTGGACTCCAGGTTGTTGAGTTTTCAATACCTAGGGCACACATTTTCAGAATGGTTCATAGAACATCACTACTACTTCACTTTACCAGTATGGTTTAAATTACAGTATGTACTCGGAATATTATTCTTTCATAATGAAATTTGCTGGCCGTCTGCCTAGGGGTGGGTGTCGCCTAGTGACTTTAGTTAGGGCCTGCTCTTGCACGTTGTGGGTGTGGAGTGTTGCTCATATGAGATAAAAAGTGATGAGCTGGACAGAGGTCAGTGTTAATAGGTGTGCTACCATGTGGTCGCCAAGTTATCTGTGCCCATTAGCAGAAGTGAGCCTTAAGGACTGCATCCGAAGCCCCTGGAACTCAGTGGAAAGACTAGAGTTAAGCACCCAATTTACATGCTGAGAATCACCTACTCCCCAGACTTCTTTTTATTCTAAACTTCTGAGAGTAGAGTACCACCTGGAAACTGCTGTGATTGATGTCCTCACAGCCTAGCTTATAAGTGCCTAAGATAGAAGGGAGCTGGCGTGCAGTGAGTTAGAAATTTCCACTCATTGTGGATGGCTGTGCCTAGCCTGTAGCCTCGCTTGCACCCAGGTGAAGCCTCCTTTCTCGCTTGGCTGGAGCACAGCAACCTTGTGCCACTTGTCGTGCTCTGTATGAGGAGTTGCAGGACAAAGGTATTAATGATGTCGCGTTATTGAGTGCCTTGCAGTTTTTCAGTGTGGTGTTTCTTATAGTTCTGTTGATTCCTGTACCAGGGAACCTGGGAACTCTAGTTCCAGTGAAGTAGAGTCCAATTGCTTCATACAATTCAGTGGATTTTTCACTCCACTTTCCATAATGTAGTTTCACTCTGGTATAGGCAGATCCTGTGGTGCTACCCTCTTTGTGATTGCAGAAATTATCACCTACCAAATAGGTGTTAAGTGTTGCCTGCCCCTCCTCCTCCACTCTGGCATAAATTGATCCATGTTTGCAGTTCTCAGAAGATGAGCATTTTAGACTCCTTCTCACTTGTGCCCCAGGTGGGATTGGCAGTGCTCTCTTCTGATGGCGGGGTGGTCCCTGCACAGAACTAGCTCCCCAGAGTGCTCTGCGGGGGGTAGCTCCAGCTTCCAGGTGTCAAAGAGTTGTGTGAAATATATCCGGTGAGCGTTTCGCGCGTTATGTGGGTTTGTTCTGTTTTAATCCACCCATCCCACTTGGGAGAGGGGGCAATTACCATTTCTAAACTCAGACATGAGTATAAGTAAGCTTCTACTGGACAGCAGAAAACCCTGGAAATATGTACACCACTCAGCACAAGTGCACCTGAAATTTTGCCCTGAATTTTTCATCTTACATCTGAGTTACTTCCTAGTTTAGAGAATCACATGTAGGAAAGTTTAAAGATACTGTGTTCCCTTATGTACTCTCCAGTGGAAACCTTCCTATATTTATGTCTTCTTTTTTTTTAAGTTTAGAAATACTAACCTTTCCCTCTTCTAGGACAAATCCAACAAGAACTAAAGTGCATGATGTCAAACATTCTCTACATTTAATAGAACTCTCTGAAAATTGTAAAGCAATGTTGGCTTCTCCTTTTCCTCTTCATTTACTTTTGATTTAATTGTATTTTCCAGCAGTTTCCAATTGTTTGGATTGGAAACGAAACCTTAATAAGAGTTCTGGTTAATTTTCTGTCTTGTAATTACCTATCTCATTTTTCTGATAATTGGCCACAGCAATTATATGTATATTTACTAATCACATAGGAGGCTCTGCAGTTGTATCTATCTGCCACCATTGATAATGACACACACATTGCAGAGGTGCTTTTATCATCATCTTTTTTCCACTACATCAAAGCTATTTCCTCGCATTCTCAATAATGAATACATGCATGCATTTGACACAGTTGTGTGCTAGAGAAATTGTTTGGCTCCCACCAAATGCTGCACGCTCTGAGTTTCTTGCCTGCAGCGCTGGAAGGTTGTATGTAATGATATATTGCTCATCCAAATGGCCAAAGCACTCCAAAGCACAGTGAGATTAAAATAAGTCATTCCTTTGTTAATTTAAATAGGTGCATGTATCATACTTTGCAGGGTACTTTGTGTAGGGATGTCAGGAAGGAAAAAAGCCGCCGAAAGGTATTTTTAATAGCAAATGAGAATAGATGAGAATGGAGTCATTTGCAGCTGCCTGTTTTATGTGGCTCTCTTGTTCCAACTGTAGGTCTAATGAGATGACACTGTTAAAGTACTCTGCAGTGTAATTTCATTACATCCTGAGCTGTTATACTATAAACACAGTGGAGCGCTCTGTCATTCTTGGAAAAACTCCTAAATTCGTAAAGCCCTCCTTTGCAAATGGTAATGTTATTTGCTCTCGGTGTCGTTTTTTTCTTGTGCTCTTAATTTATTTGCTTTCATAAATACTTGGTAGTTAATTTAGCGAGGCTGGCAAATCTTCCGTTATAATTTCCTTTATTTCTTGTAAGAATTTTTCTTTTAAACCTAGCAAGAGCTCTGCATAGTCGGACAGCTCTGAAATGAATAAGTGTAAGTAAACATGAGTGTAAATAAAAAGTGAATTCGGTGAAAGAAACAAAGGTCAACACAAGAATAATTTCACAGCTCTTCGTTAATTACAAGGCCATTTGTGTGTTACTTAAATAATCATTAATTTCTCATTTACACTTTCCCTACCTTCCTTTCTACCCTGTGGCTATCATTGTCCTTTTTTCACCTCTCCTCAGTGTTTTTCCCCATGTTTCTACCCATTGGGTAATACTCATTACTTTAAATTCCGTGTTTTACAACACATGTTCAGAAGAATTTGTACCTTTTTCTCTGTGTGAGATGGGGCATTGTTGCTTACTCCGTTTTTAATGGTATATTGCTTCCCTTTTTAAAAATTGTCCTCACTTCTTCTGACTCTTTCTTCCTTCCCTTCTCCCTCCCTCCCCCCAAATATCAAACCAATCCCAGGAATCGCCAGTCCTTCCGGTTGGGGAGTTCTCTGAGCCATTTGTACACTTCATCACTCAATGGTAAGCTCAGTTGGCAAACATGCCATGCCCTCAATGTAAATGATACATGCCATTAACTCTGCAGCTCCATGAGACCTTATGGCTTCCCCTGCATCCTTTCTGAGGCGAGAGGGACTCGGGGGCCTTGGGCAGACGGGGCAGCAAAGCTGAGCAAACTGTTTAAATTATGTAAACGTTATTTACACGAAGGGTCGTAAAAGTACGGTACTTAAGAGGGCTTTTCCTGTTTTAATAAACTGCTATGAATCTGGGTGCATTCTTGTGCACAGAGACTATTTTAAGAATTCAATTGGGAGGGTTGGGGGAAAGAGAGAATCATATTTATAACTTCATTATTCAGAGCTGCTTGTATTATTACTCATAAAACTGCCTCAATGTTTAGAAAGGTAAACAATGTCCTTGATTAATTCATTGGCTTTCCAGTAAGTAATTTTTATGCGGAGTCATATTTTAAAGTACACCATAGGGCTGAATAGTTCAGCGGAAGGCACTTTAAATTTCAGAGAGAGGGGAGAAAATATTGTTGAAAGAATAAATTTCCTAAGCAACAAAAGGTTAAAGCTCTAAGTACAATTCATTGTAACAAACAGGAGAGAGGAAATGCTTATTGTTTTTTTTTTTTAATGTCTCATTTACAGAGGAAGCAGCTATTTAAGTAATAAAATGAAGGCAGAATAACTGACATTGAACTTTGCATAAATGTGATGCTTTTGACTAAGATGTTCCCGTTTATTAAAATGCACTGTCTGGGCCAGCTGGCCAGCTGGTGTAAATTGGCAACCCCAATGGAGTCAGTGTAATCAATGGAGCTATGCCAGTTTCTGCCAGCCGAGAATCTGGCCCTGCAGCCGTGTTTAGGAAAGGAATGATTTAGGAATCTTTCCCAGTGAAGCCAGTGAGGTTAAAGGCACGGAGCCCCACACAGGATCAGGCCCATGGCTGTCTGCGATGTAGTAGATTGTGCTTTAAAACATTTCAAGTTCTCTAGCACATCTTCGGGCAAATGAGCCAAAAACTATGCAAATAAAATGAATATTCAGATAATTTAATACATTATGTATGAAACAATTCCAAGAAACTCTCTCTCAAGATTCCCATAGTGTGTGGCAAGTGGCATTGAAAATGAAGAATATACAGTATGATTTATCAGTTAATTAAAATAATAAATACACAGTTTGTGTTTATCTAATACAGGCCCCATTTTTGATGGATACAATTTACGGCAGACCACAATGTTCAGTGATTTTACAGCATAACTAACTGATGTGCAGGAGGCTGCACCTTTCTATCCCTTCCAAAAAAATTAATTAGATGTTGCATAAAAAATATTATTGAGAAAGAAGGAGGGCTAACCTGTGTTAAAATTTCCACAGATGTCAAGAAACATGAATGATGGTGGATAATAGCCTGGTTTTCCCAAGAGATACAGCTACTTTGGAATATCAGATTAGGACTGTTACCCACCCACGATTCAGACAGCTTGCATTACTTGCTAATGTGTGCATTATCTGAGGTGCATGTGGTTATAAGGAAGGCAAATTGTCCTTTGAATCATTAATGGTACTATAGCCCCTATTTACTACAAGAATATTTACATTTTTTTAGATATAGCTCACCTGTACCGTATGCAGCTTATAGCACGAGGTATTATTGTTCAAAAAATTACGTTGTATACCATTTTAGCAATTGACTTCTATAAGTATTAGACACATCAAGTGAGGAGCACATCAGACTTGGACTTTATGCCAGTTACACCATAAACTCTGGCTGTTTGGATGTAATCCAATTAGTCAGTAGGTAGCTTCTGATGGTCATCTCAGTGCCATGTTGTAGTGCTCCTTCCTGCGGCTAAACTCAGCCTACAAAAGCTAATTACACCTGTTGCATACAAAACTAGGACTATTTGGATGAGAAACTTGATCTAATAAACCGCTTAATGCTCCATAACGAACTATCAGCCTGCAAAGCCGTGGAAATAAGTGTAAAAAAATTAAGGGGGACACTCTAGGACGACATCATGCAACCCTATAGCTGTTTAGTGTTAAAAATTAAATTTCCCACCTGTGTGTATTCTTCTTCTGTCCAGCTACATCATAATGTCAGAATGAGAAAAAATGTACCATGATTTCTCAGTTGATTCGTTTATACTGATCTCTATATTTAAAGGAATCCCCAGTAACAAGGACCCCCAAATTAATTTAGAAAATAATTGGCTCCAGACATGGTAAGAGAACGTTCTTTGGAAGTTTGTGGTAGATCTGACCAGCTTTCAGAAGTGATAAGTGACCCATCACATTACAATCTTGAAATCTTGAAATGCTCAGACACTATAACAAGACAAGTAGAAAATTGGTCCATCTTCTACAGAATCTTCTCATCAGCAATTGAATACATAACAGTTTTATTAAGGATGCAGTAACACTGTACGGAATCAAAAGCTGAAAAAAGAAGAGAGAAATTGATTAACATTTTGGGTGCTCTTAGGAGCCGTGTCTTCAGTTTGTACTTGATAAAGTTAAGAAGTACATTGAAATTCTAGACATGATCTGCCTGTGTTTAAAGGAAGAAGTCTTCAGTATTTAAGCATGTGAAATAAATGAACAGTTGTTTATATATAACCATTTCACTTTTATGATACATAGCATGAGAAAGCAACCAAAGGAAAGGCCAGCACCTGAAGACTTAATGGTAAGTGGAACTCTGTAATGTATATTGAAGTATATCTGTTTTTCTCACCAGTACTTGCGAAGTTAAATATAAACTTTGTCTCTACATTGTGCAGCAACAATATATTTGCAAAGCGCACACAGAAACCAAGGAGGGGTCGACCTAAGATACGCAACTTCAGCTACGCGAATAGCGTAGCTGAAATTGGCGTATCTTAGGTCGATTTACCTGGCCGTGAGGACGGCGGCAAGTCGACCGTTGCCACTCCCCCGTCAACTCCGCTTCTGCCTCTCGCCACTGTGGAGTTCCGGAGTCGACGGCAGAGCGATCAGGGATCGATTTTATCCCATCTACACTAGATCGATCACTACCCGCTGAGTTTTGCCATTGACTTGAGTGGGGCCAGGATTTCACCCCAAGGTTAGCAAGTTTACTGCATTTGGTGGGTGGAATCTTGGCTCCATTGACATCAGTGGCAAAACTCCCATTGACTTCAGTGCAATCAGGAATTCACCTGATCTTTTCTTGGGACTTCCATGCAGGTATCAATTTCAGTCAAAACCATTTTGAAGCTAAATGCAAAGGTCTTTCAGTTTGCCTGTTCGGGGATTACAATTTAATGTCAGTCATTCTTTGTCATAATTTTACCACTCAGAACCTTTCAAAATCTGAAGATTGAAAACAGAGGATATGTTCAATGTATTACAGCGTTAATGAAATCCTACAGGAAATTCCTGTTGTCACTGTTTTCGTTTATATTCTAGAATGAAATTAGAATGGCTGTAGAGGATCAAGTTCATATATATCTTTCCTCAGAAAGGCTTCCAGTGTCTTGTTTTCAGCTCAGAGGCAGCTTTCTTTGCTTGTAAATGGCATTTTTTAGTCAAGCAGTAATAGGAGGAGAGCTGTTCCCAAACAATTCCCAAGTGGTCATTTGTTTAATGCAGAATGTTGATTTGACAATGCACAAGCTGTTAGAATAATGGTAGTATCTAGCATTAGTAAACAATAATTATAGTCCACTCCTACTAATGTTTCACACACCATTCCCTGTCTTTAAAGTGTTATTATGTTGCTTATCACTGCCAGATGTACTTTGTAGATTTATATAAATGATGATGTTTTTTCATTCTTTGCATTGCATACTTAAGGATAACTTTAAGCGACAGTAACAAGATAACAAAATATACGTGTAACTTACCTCCTTTCTTTCTTACATGCTGTGAACGGGGGGCATTGCAGCTGTTCTCCAGTTAGAGACTTACCTCTAAAATTACCCTTTGAGGCAGATAGCTCAGAATTCAGTCTTGTCATAGTGTAGGCCCTGCTCAACAAAGCATTTAACTGTGTACCTAATTTTTAACCATATTAACGTCAATGGATCTACTCATATGCTTAAGTTAGGCACACACTTAAATACCTTGCTCAATTAGGGCCTTAAAATTCACCAAAACCCCCTCCACTTTGCATCAGTATGTGTTTGTTATCAAGGATTTAGACAGCCTTATTTTGTCTTTTTTTTTTTTATTAACTTTTGATGGTTGGAAAATTCTTGCAGTTAGTCACATCTGAGAAAACTTGGAACAGGTTCTAGAGATGGAGACACATTTACCTTGTGCATTATTATGCTATGGCTGGATAGCTTAGCTATTAAAACAACGGAATAGGGTTTCATAAAACCTATATCTGTTTGTAAATGCATGTTTCAATGATGCAATAAGGCCTGCCACTTATAAATAAAACATCTGCAGATCTCACGTACACCCATAAGTATATATGTATGTATTTGTAAGCAATAACACCACTCCAGGGTGTAGAGTCATAAAAATGAGGCCAAAGGGTGAGTGCCTATCGTACTGGGGAAGTGCATATATATATATCTTTACAACTACATGCCCTGGAGTATGTTGTTCCTCTTTTAAAATGGTATTTTTAAAATAATTTTAGAAGAGTAGCTATTGGGGAAAATAACTTACTACTTTAAAAAAAAACATCTTTTAGTACTCAACATTTCCCCCTCATACTGCTCTCTGTTTAATTAGAAATGGACATATAGCCGTTAAATACACTACACACAGAGCTGGCCTGATGGTTAAATGAAAGAGCAGCCCCCCCTCCCTGCCCCCCAACATGGAAAATGGTATTTGTGACTCAGCTTGATTCCCCACTCCTAGCCTGACAGGGCTGAGAGCCGCCCCATGCTGTTCTGCAGCAAGTTCTGACACCAGCTTGGGGACCGCTCTCCAGAGCAAGTCACAGCCAGCCTTTGGGCTGAAAGACAGTCTAGCCTAGTGCAAAGTTTTGGAGGGCTGTTGATGGGAAAAGAGAAATAGGAAGGATGTAGGGGTACAGAGGAGAGAGAATCAGAGTCCTTCTTGCCCTACACAAGAGAATAATCCCATTAAGATTCAAGAAGTGAAGTCATTAGGACTCTTTGCTTGAGTAAAGTGAGCAGCATTTGACCCTAAATCTTCAGATTGCTTTCAGCATAATGGCTCTTTCCACTGGTCCTGAAGCATACAAACTCCCTGCATACTGTGAAGTTTCTTGGGTTGGGTTGGTGAGAAGGTGGGCTTTGTAAGAAAGGCATCCGTTTTCAGGTGTGTTTTTTTTTGTTAAGGTTTCACCAAAAAAGTCACATCTCTCTGGGGCGGAGTAACATACTGCAGCCTATTGGTGTAGACAAAAAGGGTCCATCTCTACCGCAGATGGAGATGCGATTGCTGCGTGGGTAGGCGACCTACCTTTCATCTAGCTACGTGCATAGCACTGGCAGCCTCTAGCACAGGTCTGCAATCATACTATGTTCCCAGGATCCCCACTGGGATTGTACCGGGGTGGCTAGCCCACACTGCCATGTCCTCACTACCACTGTTACCCGCACCAGCTAAATTAAAGCCAGCATGGATATAACTACCCAGGCTACAATCACACCTTCCTGTGGTGTAGATGTACCCAAAGAGTATTGGGTTCAAACGGTAGCTCAGCTGATCGTGTGAATCCTGTAGTACGTTAATTTTAAGTAAAATAAAACAGAAGTTCGTTTTGAGGAAAATACTAATCTTTTATGGACACACTGATACCAGGGAAGTTAATGGCTCTGATCTGGCCTTCAGCTTGGCCTACAATCTTGCCATCTGCTTTTCTAAACTTGCAAGTAGTTGTGGGAACCTTGTGTAACATGTAGATGTTTAACTAACAACTGATTTCATCAACAAAGCCGAAGTTGTGCCTGTAATGATTTATGGGGGCAAACCAAAAACTGCTTCTGAAAATCAAGCTCATGGAGATAAGTAATTCTGGATGTTGTAATCATAAGGTTTTATACATGTGGCTTGGAACCAGGGCCGGCTCCAGGCACCAGACGAGAAAGCATATGCCTGGGGCGGCACATTTTAAGGGGCGGCATTCTGGCCAATTTTGGGGCGGCACATTCTGGCCGCCCTGCCGTGGTTCTTTTTTTTTTTGCTTTGGCAGCCCGGTCCGCAGCTCCAGCTCCCCATGCTCGGCCAGTCCCAGCCCCGCCCTGCAGGGGCATGGACCCTGGCCCGGGGGGGCAGGAACTAGCGATCCCCGCCGCTCACTGTGTCGCCGGGCTCCCTGGGACGCACCGCTCCCCACCGCCTGCACCGGCTTCCGCCTCCCATGCTGCTCTGAACCCAGCCCAGCTGAGCCGCCTTTAAAGGAGCGGCTGAACCAGCACCTCTTGCAGCCCCCAGGGGCTCTGCCTGCCCGGCCAGGAAAGGCACCCCAAGGCCGGAGGGGGGAGCCCCTCTCGCCCGGCTGCAAGGTGCCGCCCTTCACCCCCCTGCGAGCTGCCACCCTTTTTTTTTTTGCTTGGGGCGGCAAAAAAGCTAGAGCTGGCCCTGCTTGGAACCGCTGGTCTTGAGTCAGATTGTTTCTTTAAACCATAATCCATGTGCAAAGAAATTTTCCAAGATAGAGCCTCTGCCAGTCTAGAGTGACGCACTAGAGGGTTCCCTCTCTGCACAACTGAATATATAGCAGTGACTCTCGAAAGTTCTCAAGTAATGCACGGACCAGGGGTGCCGAAACAGGGCAAGCCAGGGGGCCATGTCCCCATCGCTTTTTACCAGCCATAAGGATGAGTGATGAGGAGTAGGGGGCAGAGAGGAGTGAGCAGGGGCGGGGCCTGGGGGGTTGGGGGGATGGCACAGGGCCTCAGGGAAGGGGACAGTGTGAGGGTGCGGCCAAAGTCCAGGCACCAGGGTCCCCCCTTTTAGGGACCTTCCATCGCCTTGGCATGGATATCCCAAAAGAAGCCATATAATTCCATTTAATGGCCTCTACCAAGCACAATTGGAAGAAATTTTGCATGATCTCTCTGCCTTTTTCCTCAATTTTTCTCGGATTAGGGGCACTGGGACCAATTTTGTTGTTGTTGTTGTAATAATGTTCTCTTCTGTCTTATTTTGCATGTCCCATCCTCAAAATCAGGTTGACTCGTTATTATTGCATGTGGGAACCCATGTCACCATAGCAACCAGAGATCTGCCAGTTGGGGGTGCTGTATGGCTGCCCTATTATGTTTCTTATCAGCCAGAGGAATCAAGTGTGTCCTATAATATACTATCTATCTATCTAAGTACATCAATAGACATCATCACTGTAGCATCCCCCCAGCTCCAGCATGCTTTTAACTCCTTGGTGCTGACAGAAGAAGACTGAGGAAAGAACCACCATCCCAAAGATCTCCTATCAAGCAATAATGGCTTATGGGTATATCTACCTGGCAATTAAACATCCACTGCTCTCCCATGTCAGTTGACTCAGGCTTGCAGGACTTGGGCTGCGGGGCTCCTTAACTACAATGTAGACATTTGCCAGGCCCCTGGGATCCTCCCACCTTTATATACCATGTATACAATCTTTTACCAAAACAACCTTCAAATTTTGGATCTTTTCTTGAACACAATATTCTGTTTCTTTCTCTTTCTACTACCGTTGTTCTCCTCTTAGGACTGCAGATTGCTGGATGTTCTCCACTGGAGAATGGGCACTTTTTTCCCTACCTATAACTTGGCCATCTCCTAAGAATGTACCAACAGGCTGAAGACTCCATTCCCTTTCTTGCTTTCTTGTTCTGTGTGCATTGTGATTTACAGAGCGGATGCACTTAGACTTTGGGAGCTTGGAAAGTTATGTGGTTAAAATAGCTCCTCTTGAGATATCTTGGTGCCAGTCAAGAACTTACCAGAGCAGCTGCTTCACCGCCTATTGTGGGCCAACCCAGTCCAATAGTCTAGAACTCCAGATGGGTGGCTTAATTCTGGCAATTCAGTGGGTGCTCTCATAGGAGAAGATGAGTTTAGCACTAGAACAAAATTGTTCTGTCATAACTGTACTTAATAATCATGGTTCATAAAGCTGCTGTTAATTCAGTTATGATTTTAAAGTGAACCCTTTTTATATGAAACCTAAATTGTAAAGTTCTGACAACGTATGCTCATTAAATATCCCGTGACACTTTTCACTAGCGTTGAAGAGGTGTTGGTTCCTCATAGCCTCTCCAAATTCCCATTATTTTGCCTACCTGAAATTCCCATTGTAGGGTCTGTTGGTAATCTTCACTTCCTCACCTAATCTGTAGTGGTGGTTTGCACTGTTAATACAGTTTTTGTGTTACACCACAGTGGTGGGGTAAGTGATACAGAGGGTATGGGTGAATTTTCACCCAATTGACATCAATGGGGCCAGATTTAAACCTTAAAAAATGTTTTGAGTGAAATGTACTCACCAGGATGAAAGCAGTAACATGTAAACATCCTTAGCACCAACCAAAATATGAGTTGATATTTTGTACTATATACACATAAGCTGTGCTGAATGTCAGCATTTTGCAGCCAATTTCATATAATTTAAGGCTGAATGCAAAATGGGATCCTCTTCTGATCCCTAAATTGTTAAAATGCATTTCAAAAGCCAACTAACAATGCCAACTAACAAGGTATATCTGATCTAACCCAGTGTAACTCCGTTGAAATCAGTGGACTTACACCAAGGATGGATTTGACCTATCTTGTCAGGTTGCTGGAGCACTTTATTTTTCAGATTTCTTGGAAAACGTCAGGCCAAAGTAGAGGCTGCATGAAATTCCTATACAAAGTCAGACTCTTCAGTACCACGTATTCTCTTGTATAAGCGAACACTGAAGTTCCCTCACAAACAACTAACATAAATTAATGCCCTATGGTTAGGGCCCTACCAAATTCACAGCTATGAAAAACGCGTCACAGACTGTGAAATCTGGTCTTTTGTGTGCTTTTACCCTATACTATACAGATT